ATAGACTGTGTAATTCTGTTCTGCCAAAAACGTTTCAACCTGCCTGCCAGCAATATTTTTCTGTACACTGAGCTGCACATGCGCAGCTCATTGCACAGCATCTGCAAAGTGTTGTACCGAAATTAAGTAACTCCCGTGTGCATGCGAGGGAGTTACATCATCCTGGCCTGGCCAATCAAGAAGCCGAAGACACTGAACCAGGAAGATGACTAGGTAAAGATGGAAGCGCCATTGACTGGAGTAGATCGCTTATTATGCTGTGCATTCTAGCACATTGTAGCTAAAATGTGTTAGAATGCACAGTTTTGTTTTTAATATAATACTCTTTCATTTATTAACTGACTTGACTTTCGCAGGGATACTTTAAAAGGTGTCTGGTACTTTAAGGGACACACCCGGTACCACAAAATCATTTATCAGTTTTCTTTTTCAAGATACAAAGTAAAATAAAGAATCTGCATTGTTCACTTGACTCTTAGCTGACAATATCCTGCCTCCATTATAGCTCTTCATGGCCAGTGCTGTTTCTGCACAGACAATGCTTATGTGCAGCTGTGGATCTGGCAAAGCTTAGTTACAGTAATTCTTAGCAGACATTTCAATGATGACTACCCAAGTAATAACATCATTGTACTCACCGGACATTCTAATATGAAGAAATACCCACCACCACCACCGCACCTGAGGCATCCCAGAGTCCCATCTCTTCCAGCAGGATTGCAGTAATAAAGCAGGGAGCCTGGCAGGTGATCATGTGACAACCCGCCTGGCTTCCTGATTGGATGGGAAGCCGCAGCCACACTCCTTCACAGCTTCCCAGGCACCGAGGACTGTTGTAGGAAGTACTGATGCGCTCTGTATCGGTGAGCCGGTCACAGAGAGATCTTTTTGATCTCTCCACCATCTCAGTGACTAAAAACAGGGAGCCTGCTGTTGCGGTTTTGGTGTTGCACTCGGGGTAATTAGGGTGTGCCCATGCTCACGTGGTACACCCTGTGCCCACGCCTACGGACATCAGATTGAGACACTGCTGACATCATTCACAATTTACTGACCGTTATTGTTGTTATTATTCAGGATTTATATAGTGTCAACAGTGTGTGCAGCACTTTCCAATATAAGGCGTACATTACAGTTACAATACAAATCGGGACAAGATGGTAAGGAGGGCCCTGCCTGTCAGAGCTTCCAATTTAAAAGGGAGGGGAAAGTGATACAAGATGTTGCAATTGACCACCTCCTAAACTTCTACTGACTTGCTTCAAGAGGCTTTCCCCTTTTCATAGACTTTTATAAGAATGCAAAACTCGCTTTTATTGAACAAAACTCTGTTGACACAGGCCCTAAAATCACCCATTCTAGCAGGTCCATACTCCACTCAATGGTGTGTTGGGGCCTCTCATTTAGGACAATGTTCCATCCTTTCTAAAGCAGGAATCCTAACATGGATGAGTGAACTACAGGTATAAGAGCTCAATTACAACAATGAGCATATTAACATGTGTTTGATGCATTGACGCACATTGTGGTACCCATGCCTCTTCATTACCTATTGGCCCTCAACAAGAGTCTAAAGGTGGCCATACACTCTACAACCATTGCAAGACTTTAGTCTTGCGATGGTTGTAAAGGGATTAAAAAAACGTACGATCTGCCTATCTTGGACAGGCAGATCGCACTCTCGATCATCGCAAGCCCGCCCCCCTGAGGGGCGGGCTTCCGCTGACCGCAATGCTGAACGGGCAGTGTGCGCGTGCGCACACCGGCCCGTTCAGCATTTGTCTTCCGAGCACCGTTCTAACCAGCCGAGAATCGTACGATTCCCGGCTGGTTTTCGAACATGCTGGTTCGACAGAAGACGTGCGACCGTACAGTAGAAACGGTCGCACGTCTCCGTTCACACTGCTCGATTATCGTACGAAAACCCGATCGCATACGATTATCGTACGATAATCGTGCAGTGTATGGGCACCTAGAGCTTCAAAAAAATATACCTGACCCTTTTTCCCCAGAGCACTGGAACACCAAGCTGGCCTTATACAAATATAATCCTGCACACTTTCTCATCAATGCACCTTTACTTTAAGACCCCATTCACACCTAGCGACATACCTTTTGCAGCGGATCCGCACGGCCGGGATAGCGCGACTTTCGGGGCGACGTTCCAGCGACGATCCAGCGACGGTAGCGCGACCTTCCCCGTCGGGCTCCATAGAAAAAAAGCAAAATCGCGCAAAATCCGCAGAAAAAAGGGTCCGGTAGAAGCGACTTGCGACCGCGACGAGCGACATGGAGTTAAGACAGCTCCATTGAATAACATTGGCCGGCGACTTCTCGCGATATCGCGCGGCAAAAATGCGCGATATCGCGGCGGAAATCGCGCGACAATTCGCTATATGTGAACGGGGCCTTAAGCAACTTGGTAGAAACACCCTTGTAAAGCTGACAACTTTCTGAAAGTTTAAAACTATACAGGGCAAGTGCTTCCTACTTCCTTCAGCCCCCTTATGACAGCGTTCAGACCTGGTCATTGCCTGCTCAGCACACAGTATTCGAGGAGGGAAGGGTAACATGTTCCCTTATCACCTCAGCAGCGGATCAGAGCAGCAGGTGTCCTGGCCATGCGGACCGTATCTTTGTCCCAGGAATACGGATTCCTCATCACCTGATATTATTGACAGCAGACTGCTGCTGTCATTATTTAATCCCCGCCAGCTGCTGGTTAGTTGTTACCCCCTGGCTGCTAGTGTTTGGTTGCTAGAATGCTAGGTGGTCCTAGCAACTAACCAGCAGCAGCGGTGGTTGAATAATGACAGCGGCAGTCTGCTGTCATTATTCAGCCCCCAGCAGCTGCCCGTTAGTTGCTAGGACCCCGCGCCCCAGCAACCAATCAATAATGTGCTTCCTCCCCAGTCCCTGCCCATATCAGCATTCCAATTGAGATGCCTTCTGCTGCCCACCCGCCCATCTCAGTCAGCCTCCTGCATAAGTAAGCCAGTGCACACATAAAGGGGAACTCAGTCCCCAGTGTCCCCCCTTACATCAAAGTCCCCCTTACATCCGAGTCCTCAGTGTCCCAGAGCCGCCCTTTACATCAGAGTCCTAAGGAGCCACATACTCCTGGGCTTTTTCAGAATGTTGCCTGTATCTCTCCAGGGCTACTCAGGGCAGTGTCTCAACCTCTCCAGGACTGCTTAGGGCAATGTATGTATCCAGTGCTACTCAGGGCAGGGTCTCTATCTCTCTAGGACTACTCAGGGCAGTGTCTGTACCTCTCTAGGACTCCTTAGGGCATTGTTTGTTACTCCCCGGGATTCCTTAAGCATTTCCATCTCTTTATTAGGGCAGCGTCTCTTTCTTCTCAGGGCAGTGTGTCTTGGTTCCTAGGGCTTCTCAGGGCAGTGTTTCTGTCCCTTCAGGACAGTGTGTCTTGGTTCCTAGGGCTTCTCAGGGCAGTGTTTCTGTCCCTTCAGGACAGTGTGTCTTGGTTCCTAGGGCTTCTCAGGGCAGTGTTTCTGTCCCTTCAGGACAGTGTGTCTTGGTTCCTAGGGCTTCTCAGGGCAGTGTTTCTGTCCCTTCAGGCCCGCGCGTCTTGGCTCCTCAAGGTTCCTAGGGCTTCTCAGGGCAGTGTTTCTGTCCCTTCAGGACAGTGTGTCTTGGTTCCTAGGGCTTCTCAGGGCAGTGTTTCTGTCCCTTCAGGACAGTGTGTCTTGGTTCCTAGGGCTTCTCAGGGCAGTGCTTCTATCCCTTCCAAAAAATGTCTCTTTATCTCCATGGTCCCTCAAGGTAGTGCTTCTATCTCCCCAGAGCTCCTCAGGGCAGCATCTGGGGGAGCTCCCAGGTGGATAGAAATACTGCCTTGAGGAACCGAAGGAAGTATCTCTCACTTCCTTGGGGTCCTCAGGGCAGTGTTTCATGTCTCCAGTGCTCCTCGGAGTGGAGTCTCTAACTGCCCAGGGTTCCCTAGGTTAGTGTCTTTATGTCTCCAGTGTTCCCCAGGTTAGTGTCTTTATATTTCCAGGGTTCCCCAGCATAGACTCTCTACCTCTTCATGGTTCCCTAGGGCAGTATCTCTCTCAGGCTTATCAGGACAGTGTTTCATGTCTCCAGGGCTCCTCAGAGTGGAGTCTCTAACTGCCCAGGGTTCCCTAGGTTAGTGTCTTTATGTTTCCAGGGTTCCCCAGGTTAGTGTCTTTATGTTTACAGGGTTCCCAAGCATAGACTCTACCTCTTCATGGTTGCTTAGGGCGGTGTCTCTCTCAGCTTATCAGGGCAGTGTTTCTCTCCGATCAGAGCTCTTTTAGGGCAGTGCCTTTATGTCCACATGGCTCCTCAGTGCAGTTTTTCTCTCACCTCAGGACAATCTCTTAATTCCTCTAGGGCACTCAGTACCAATCAGTGTGGGCTTTGCAGGGCAAGTCCTCCTTATGGCAGGCCCACAATTAAGACCATGGTACACTTGGTTTACTAGATGCTGAAATAGCGGTTTTAAGTGAAATAATCCTCAAGGTTGCAGTTGGTTTCCCTGCTTGCAGTTATTATCCTAGCATTGTTGCAATCAAGCCCGTCCATTTACCTGACATGATAGTGCTTATAGTGCATGTAATACTGATAGAACCCAGGATACATTTAGCTACACTGCATATTCCTGCAACACAGACTTTAATTAACATTCTGACTGGAGAGCTTTCTTTGTGTGTTTGGTCTCACTTCCTCTCTCTCTCTCTCTCTGCTTGCTTTGGAAAAAAAACTGCAATAAAGAACTTAAAAGCTTCTGACCCCAAAGACTGTGCAGAGCTTTCATTGCCGAACCCTTTTTTTTTTTAAGTGTTTAAAAGCTTTAATATTGAAGGCCTGTCAACTTTGTCCTGATTATTTGGCTTTCAGTTAAAAGGTTTTTGTTGTTGTAGCTTATGCAGTTGCTCTGTTGCTATGGGAACGTGACATCAATATGACGTTTTCCTGTTTAAAAGCTTTTAACTAAATTCCAGCCTGTCAGATGTAGGCCCCATTTTATGCTCTCAGACTTCAAGCTGTTGCAAAAGGGTTTCATATGCTCTGTTGTCATTCAAAGGCTTCAGCACCGCCTGAAGCATAGGGCTGCCTTCACGAGGGGGTGGTGGTGGGGGGGAATCTCTACTTAAAAGGTGCCCTGTGTTGGCAGCTCTTTTAAATCCCTTCTCAGCTGCCACAGTGGGCAATGGCTGCCGCCGAGGTGCCAGCTTACTTGCTCTCCTCGCAGAGCGAGAAGCACAGGAGGGCCCGCAACTGGACGGACGCCGAGATGAGGGGCCTCATGTTGGTCTGGGAAGAATTCTTCGAGGAGCTGAAGCAAACTAAGCGCAACGCCAAAGTTTACGAGCGCATGGCCAACAAGCTGTTCGAAATGACCGGGGAGCAGCGCCACGGGGAGGAGATCAAAATCAAAATCACCAACATGACTTTTCAGTACAGGTAAGCCGCGTCTTTTCTATATTTTTAATTATTAACCTCGCATTTGCCAGGCGCATATCGAGCAAAAGCGCGGCGCCAATTTTGTGGTTCACAGGCAGCACAGCCAGGAGGATGACATCACTTTCTTGATGAGAGTGAAGGCATACGCTGGTGTCACCTGCTCACCCACAGCCTGCTGATTGGACAATGAAGGAGCAGTAACAGACTGATCATCAGCTGTGCTCACTCTGCTTCCTCCTCTCTTCAGCATGTTCCCTGTCCGTATATATACATCAGGGGTAGCCATACTCCGGCTCTCCAGCTGTGGTGAAACTACAAATCCCATGATGCATCTCTCTCTCTCTGGGAGTCATGTCTGTGGCTGTGAGAATCTTGCAATGCCTCATGGGATTTGTAGTTCCACCACAGCTGGAGGGCCGGAGTTTGGCTACCCCTGATATACATGCAGCAAAGCCTCCAGTCGCTCTCAGTGGCTGCTATGTATAACATTTTGAAAGAAACATGCTTGCTTTAGTTAGCGTGTGTTTTTAAATGTGCCCGGAACTTAGCTCTAGGTGAAATAAAACACATATGGCACGTAAGTAAAAACAGAATCCTCTCTATCTGATGCTGCACATTGTAGAGCAATTCCACCTTCAGATAACTTCAGCTTCTTAGCTCACACATGTTGTTCTGTAACTTTTACTCAATATACTGATTTTCTTTGTATCTTCTTTCTGCTCCTTTCAGACATTTATTTTATACTCTAGCAGCAGGGCCAGATTTCCCACAAGGCCAACCGGGGCCCGGCCTAGGGGCAGCAGGGAGTAGAGGGGCAGCAGGGCTGTGGAATTCCTATCTCCCGACACCTGGGGCATGCAGTTTCGGGCGCCGGGCGGGTACTTGTTTTCTACATTTAGTCTTGTTTTGGGCAAGCAGAGCTAAATGTACAGCGGGGACGCCTCCGCTTGTTTTGTACAAATGATCTTGGCGATGTCCCCGAGATCACTTGTATGCAGCCTGCATACAGGGGGGGCACATTGAGGAACCTGGAATTGGGGCAGCAGAGAGAGTAAAGCCGGCCCTGTCTAGCAGCAGGGTAATTTAAAGAAGAACTCCGTCAGCGCTCACCTCTCTCCCCCTCCACTTCACCATTGGAATACAATGTGCCTTGGTGTCCTCATGGCTAATGCAAGTCAATGGACCTGCATAACACATGATGAAGTCAGCGCTCCTCAGCCTGCTGGAGCCCAGGGAAGAAGAGGCTGCGGGGACCGGTCCAGCAGCCCAGAGAGAGCCAGTGACACCGAGAATCAGGTGAGTAGATCTGCTGTATTTGAGCCCCCTAGACAGAATGAGCACTGAACCCATTTCAGTGCGCAGGTAGCCCCACTGTTTTTTATTTCTCTGGAGTTCTTTAACCACTTGCTGACCACGGTGTTTACACCCCCCTTCCCATCCAGGCCATTTATCAGTATTCAGCGCTGCGGTACTTTGACTGACATTTATTCTGTCATGCAGCGCTGTACTGATATGAATTTTATACCCTTTTTTGGGGGATAGAGCTTTCTTTTAGTGGTATTTAATCACCACGGGGGTTTTATGTTTTACTATATAACAAAAAAGTACAGGATATTTTTTTTTAAATGGGTTTCCCTTTATTATTTTATGAAACATTTATTTTTACCCAATTTTTTAGTAAAATATAAAAGGGTCACGTCGGCTAAATAGACACCAAACATGTCAATCCTTAAAATTGTGCGCGCCCGCGAAATCGCAAAAAAACACCATAGCCAAAATTGGCCATAGGCGACGCTTTAAAAGATTTTATCGCTCATCAGTTTAGTGTTATCAGTGACTAATGGCCCAAGAAGTATTGCTTTCATTGCGACTTTCGCGGCAATATGTAACACGTGCAGCATAATTGGAGCAATTGTCGTTGTTGCTTGTAGGCGCATCTAACGCATTTTTGCGCATCTATGTGGGGGTGGGGGACTTTTAAAAAAAAATGTGTCTGTTTTGTTTGTTTTTTGTGTGTGTAAATTTGTATTTATTTTGTGAGAATTTTTTTTAAAAACTTTTTTTTTATACTTAACTTTATTGTTATCACATAGGGTGCTAAGAAGTGCCCTATGTGATAACAAATTACAGTTACAGTCCCCTTTATGGAGACATCAGAGGTCTCCAAGACCCCTAATGTCACCTAGGGACCCCCTGAGAAGCTGATGAAGCACAGATCTACTTCATCAGCTTCTCTCCGGTTTCTGTACCGGAGAGTGACAGAGGAATGCGGAAGTGATGTAATATACATCACTTCCTTCATTCAGAGACCGGGAGGAGAGCGGAGGGAGATCGCAGACTGATCTCCCTCCGTTCTCAGTGCACAGAGCCACATCGCCCGGGATGGATGGCCGGGATCGCTGGGACGGCGGGGACAGTGGTGGCGACGAGGGGTAAGGAGGGGGGGCGCACCCTCACTTGCATCATACAAGCGATCGGACGCCGGACCGCTTGTATGTAAACGGCCTTTGCTGGCCTTTGAAAATCCAGGCGTATTCCCGCTCGTGTGCGTCTGGGGGCGCGCGGGCATGAAGGATGTCTAAAGAAGCCCACCCGCATCCAGGCCGTCTTTCAACGTTCGGCGGACGGGAGGTGGTTAAAGGCTAAGTGCACTGAATGCTGATTAAAGTAAGCCTGTACTGAGGTTAGCAAGGGAAGCTGACATTGTTTACTTCTCCATCTGAAAATGCTCATTGCCTGGCTGTCATGCTGATCCTGCTGCCTTTACTTTCAGATCCACTAACCTGTAACATAGATACAGACTTCACTCCGACTGGAAACATGATTATTATTATTGTTATTACTATTATACAGGATTTATATAGCGCCAACAGTTTGCGCAGCGCTTTACAATATGAGGAAGACATTACAGTTACAATGCAAGACAAGATGGTAAGGAGGGCCCTGCCCCTGAGGGCTTACAATCTAAAAGGGAGGGGCAAGTGATACATGAGGAGGTAGCTGTGTGGAGATGAATTGTTTGAGAACATGATGGTTGAGTGGTTAGGTTGAGGTGGGATAGGCTTCCCTAAAGAGATGAGTCTTATGGGAACGCCTAAAGGCAGTCAAAGTGGGAGACAGTTGGACAGGTTGAGGTAAAGAGTTCCAGAGGATGGGAGAGACTCTAGAGAAGTCCTGGAGGTGAGCATGGGAGGAATTGACAAGGGAGCTGGAAAGCAGGAGGTCTTGGGATGAGCGGAGCCGACAGTTAGGGTGATACTTTGAGACACAGTTTGAGATATAGCCGGGGGCGGAGTTGTGGATGGCTTTGTAAGTGATTGTTAATATTTAGAATTTCATCCTTTGGGCCATTGGAAGCCAGCGTAGGGATTATTTCCTATGGGCATGGTTTCCACCTGGGCGTATTTCAGCGCGTAGGAACGCGCTGAAAAACGCCCTATGCCCAAAGAAGTACAGGAGCTTCTTTGGGGTGTATTTTCTGCGCGTATCCTTTAGGATACAGCTGGATAGCCCTCGTAAACGCGTGTTTGTTGCGCGTTTCGTTGACCGCAAATCGCGGTAAAAACACGCGGCCCGAAACGCTCGTCAAACGCGCATATTACGAACGCCCAAGTGTGAACCCAGCCTAAGAGAGTGTAGGATAGAGCTTGAGGGTGAATGAAGTAGTTTTGAGGGAACAGGGTAAAGGGGGCAAGTGGTGAGGTGGGTGTCAGAGAGAAGCTTTGTAACCTCCTCTGTGGTGACCGGGTCAAAAGAGGAGAGTAACAAGTGTGATGGAGGGTCTGGTACATGAATAGGGGAAGGTGACTGCACAGTGGCGATCTGATCCCGAATTGTATCTATTTTGTTTTTGAAATGAATGGCAATGCCCTGGGCAGTGAGTGAGTTAGTGGGTGGAGGCGGTGGGGGACATAGTAGAGAGTCAAAAGTAGAAAAGAGTTGGCAAGGTTTGGATGATAGCGTGTTAATGAAAGTGGCAAAATACGTCTGTTTGGCAGCACGTAGGAAGGAGTTATATTTTAGGAGGGCCGCTTTGTACAGGGTGAAGTCTTGCAGAAGCCGAGTTTTCCGCCACAGTCGCTCAAGAGCGGGGGCTATGTCTTTTTAGATGTATTGTTTCTTTGTATCATGTTCTAGGTTCTGATGTCTAGGTCTAGGACTCTGGGTCACTGATGTATACTAGGTCACTGATGTACTCTAGGTCAATGATGTATAGAAGTCAGAGACAGCCAGGCAAGTAGCACTTTTAGAAGGAGATTATGTGCCGCCCCAATAGGGGCATAGAATATGAGATGCATAGCAGGAGCCACCCTGGGACAGCAGCATTGTCACCCTGTGTGGAGGGTGGTGTTAGATGGACGAGCAGGTTTATATGGACTTGACTAACAAATTACATCTGAACTCCGACTAACACTTTTTAAGCAGTTACAGCAACAGAATTATTTTTTCCTTTTGGAATAAATATTTAACATAAATGAATAAAAGCCAATCATTGCAAGCACCCCTGTCAGTGTTATCACGTCTAAAAGTGCTTTTCACTCACCTCATAGTTCTAGCCGACCTGTGACAATGAGACTGTCACAGGTCAGCTCAGCTGATCGGGAGGTGATCGGGAGGTGAGCGAACACATACAGGGGCTGGATTGCCAGCGCTGACTGGCGGATCGGACGGGGAAGGGGGCGGGTACAGCTGGCTCTGCCTCTAGATAGGCAGAGCCAGCTGTCAGTCACGCAGCTGGGCGGATCCCGGCATAATTGTCTGGATCCGCTTCAGCTGCGGCATCTTAGTATACCGCGAGCAGCAGCTTGCGGCATCTCAGTATACCGCAAGCTACTGCTGGCGGTATACTGAGCCTAAGGTGACGGGAGGACGCTAGTTTGTGTCCTCCCGTTACCCTAAGGAGAACTATGGGGAAAAGCCCTAACCCCATAGTTCTCCTTTAACCCTCTATCTGCCACTTTTCCTGGACAGTTTGGCCTGTTAAAGGAAGTTGAAAAATA